AGAATTCGGTTACAGCGTTTGGTTTAAAGCAAACCTTCTTCAATCCTCAATGTCTTTCAAAATCTTCTCTCAAAGGATTTCTCTTCCAAGAGAAGAAATCGAGAAGACGAAGTTGCGCTTTCCGAGCAACCGCTGTAAGCCAACAAGCACCACCAGAAACATCTACCAATAATTCGTCGTCTAAACCGAAACGTGTTATGGTCATTGGTGGGGATGGTTATTGCGGTTGGGCTACTGCTCTTCACTTGTCTAAGAAGAATTACGAAGTTTGCATTGTCGACAATCTTGTAAGGCGTCTTTTTGACCACCAGCTTGGTCTTGAGTCATTGACTCCTATAGCTTCGATTCATGATCGAATCAGCAGGTGGAAGGCTTTGACAGGGAAATCAATTGAGCTATACGTTGGGGATATCTGTGACTTCGAATTCTTAGCTGAGACTTTCAAGTCTTTTGAGCCGGATTCAGTTGTCCATTTCGGGGAACAGAGATCCGCGCCTTATTCGATGATAGACCGGTCCAGAGCCGTGTTTACACAGCACAACAATGTTATTGGGACTCTCAATGTTCTCTTTGCTATTAAAGAGTTTGGAGAAGAGTGTCATCTTGTGAAACTCGGGACGATGGGTGAGTATGGAACTCCGAATATCGACATTGAGGAAGGTTATATAACGATAACCCACAATGGTAGGACCGACACTTTGCCATACCCGAAGCAAGCTAGCTCCTTTTATCATCTTAGCAAAGTTCACGACTCGCACAACATTGCTTTTACTTGCAAGGCTTGGGGTATCAGAGCCACTGATCTTAATCAAGGAGTTGTTTATGGAGTAAAAACCGATGAGACAGAGATGCATGAGGAGCTACGTAACCGACTGGATTACGATGCTGTGTTTGGTACAGCTCTTAACCGGTTCTGCGTGCAAGCTGCTGTTGGTCATCCGCTTACCGTTTATGGTAAAGGTGGTCAGGTAAATGACTCCTTATATGCTTTCACAAAAAAACAGAGGTTTTAATTCATTTTCTTTCCTTTGCAGACAAGAGGCTACCTGGATATAAGAGACACGGTTCAATGTGTTGAGCTCGCTATAGCGAATCCGGCAAAGGCTGGTGAGTTCCGGGTATTCAACCAATTCACAGAACAGTTTTCAGTCAACGAACTGGCTTCGCTAGTCACTAAAGCGGGTTCAAAGCTCGGGCTGGACGTGAAAAAGATGACGGTGCCTAACCCGAGAGTTGAGGCGGAAGAGCATTACTACAATGCAAAGCACACAAAGCTGATGGAACTTGGACTTGAGCCTCACTATCTCTCTGAGTCGCTTCTTGATTCGTTGCTTAACTTTGCTATTCAGTTTAGAGATCGCGTCGACACGAAACAGATCATGCCTAGTGTTTCTTGGAAGAAGATTGGCGTCAAGACCAAGTCCATGGCTCCCTAAAGTGCAGATTCTTATTACAGCTAATAGAGATTGTTAGATTATGCGAGAGTCGTGTTGTTTGTTATCTTCAAACTTCATTTGTGCTAAAGACTTTGCTAATGTTTGTCCACACATTATTGTGGAGGGTTTTTAATTTCGATGAAAATCTTTTTTGAACAAAGATACATAAAACAAGAATGTAATGAAAAAAACAACATAATCTTTATAAAAAAAATATCTACTTTATAATTAGATATAAAGAGTTCTCTTTCCTATCTAAAGTGTCTACATAAACAAAACTA